GCGAATAACGGAGCACAAACGGGCAGTGTGGAGAGGTGACCCACTGTCCCAGATCGCTACCCACACTTTGGAAGAAGGCCACGAATTCGATTTCTGGAGCACAGGGATAATGGCACGAATTGAGGCAAATGGTCGCATTCCAGGAACGTGTATATTTTGAGAAAAAGATGAAGATTTATCGAACACCGGAATCATTATTTTATTGGTCAGAGCTTTTGGGCTCCTGCAGGAGTCCATCGTCAAAGATGGGAAAACAGCAGCAAATGAGGTGGCTAGTTCTGGTGTGTGCACAAAACAACTAAAATTTGAATGCGTAGAAAATCAATAATTGTGTGGTTTGGCCGTCGACTCGCTATTGCGGACTATGTCAGTATTTGTTAATGGGCGAGATCGGCGTGTTGGGTAGAAATGTTTACAGAAATAAAATGGTCAACAATAATAAGCAACATTTATAGGGGAAAGGTCAATCATAAGTCATAGAAAGCAGAGGAGAGGGGGCGGAGGACAGGGGGAAGAGGAACAATTAAACACCTGTGCCGTGAGTCTCGAGATACCTGCGCCGGGCAAAAAATGCGGGCGCCAGCTCAATTCATCAGTTAACTGAGTTGTCATCGGATGTCCAGGCTTTAATCAGTTCTCGGCCCGTCTTGCTGCCAGCGTGGGCAATTATCTTCGCGGCTGCGAAGTTGAAATCATGACCCGTCTCGTAGGTGTGGGCCGCCACTTGCGATAATGTGTTGCCCATTAACACATACTGACATAGTCTGCAGTGGCGAGTCGACGGCCAAACCACACAATTATTGATTTTCTAAATTTTAGTTGTTTTGTGCACACCCCAGAACTAGCCACCTCATTTGTTTCTGTTTTCCCATCTCTGACGACGGACTCCTGCAGGAGCCTGAAAGCTCAAACCAATAAAATAATGATTCCGGTGTTCGATAAACTTTCTTCTTCTCAAAAAAGAATGGCATGAGCCAGCAATAAGACGGGTGGCGAACTACTGGAGGCCTCAGTGTCAGATCCTAACTCCATCAACCGGCATGTGGATATACCGCCCTGCTATTTTGCCATCCGCACTCCCGACCAGAATCCGCGGCCCAGTTTCTGTACAAACATGCAGGCTGCCACGTCAAGGTCACACAATGTACCCCCAGAGACGCGCGCAAGGGACACA